CACTCATTCCGTCGGTCTGCGTCCCGTTGTCTCCCTATTATGCTGGCTGAAGACGAATTCTTGGCTTTCGACAACGATCTCGGAGACTTTGACCCCGATTATGACTACCTAGACTCCTACAATGAAGATTTTGATCCCACACCACCTCCCCTTGCCGATCTCTCTCCTCGCCGCGCACAAGATGCCCGCTCTATGCTATTCGAGAACTACACTCAGACGTTGCGGGATGGCCTTGGAGCTGGAGGAATGACTCTCGAGGATCGTGTTCTGGCATGTATCACCTATATGAATACAATGGGCATCAATGTTGAGCTTTTCATGACTGCACTCTTCTGGGGAGACCACGGCTGCATTGTCAACCCGAAGATTCGACACGAACGCACGGTGTTTATGAATAGCACCTCCCTTCGTTCTATCCTGGAGCGCTGGTGGAATCCGCCCACGCATGACCATGCAAGTGGTGGAAAGGCCGCAGTCCGGGAGTTTGTTATGGAGCATGCTGGGGAAATGCTTGAGGAGGAGATGCACGATGCGACTCCCTCGTTTCGGCTCCCTGAAGATTCGAATCCTCTCTTGCATGAGAACCTCACTACACTCAATTTCCGCCACTTCGGTACTCAGCTCCTGCATAGCGGGACACCGCTCTTATGGAGACTCTTGCAGCGCTTAGCTTGTACGAGGCGGCAACAAATCAAAAACACTGCAAAGAGTCCATTTCATGTATGTTTCCACACCAGATTCAGGTGACGGCTTCTATAACGTGTCGGAATAACTTCTACAGGTGATCTTGACAATAATCACCATGCTCTTTTACTCCCGTTCACACGATAATTCCCGGTTGACAGTCCTGTGGTCGATCTACCTCAAGGCGTGTGGTGTCCCAGCTCGAGCATTTGACGTCCTTCACACCCTCGGGCTTGTTATGAGCCACAAGTGGACTGCAAATGCATTTGCGATTATCTCACGGAATGCATTAGCTGAGACGCGTAAGGCCATCCGCACCCATCCCTACTTCGGCTCGCACGACAACCTAAATATTCCACTGCGCGTCTTCTCACAACGCCTGTCCAACACAAACCATTTCATCAATGCCTCTGCCGCCACTATATACATACTCCCCCGAGACGCCTTCCTGCCGCCCGAGATGGCTGCAAAAGTCAAAGAGAGCCGCCGTGAGCGAAGCAAGGAACACTTCCCTTTCGAATCTCTCTATGTCACTGGCGAGCCCGAAGCCGATTCTGCTCGTAGTCGTGTTGCTGCACAGGCTCGCTACCGCATTCTCCGATTTCTCCTCGAGTCCCCTGCATTCGCCAACTATGCCCACCGCAATGACCCTTGCATGGCTGCCCCACCTCCAACCGACCTCCTTCCCTGTGGCCCCGATCATGTGACACGACAGCATATTCTCGAGACAGTCGAAGTGGACGAGAGTACCTATGATGGTACTGACCGTCTATGCAACAATGTTTGGCTGAGTCAGCTAGGGTACACTTCAGATGAGGAGAAACGTACCATAGGTCAACGATGGAAACTTGTCTGGGTCGGTGATCAGCTCACTGTTGAACGCATGCGCGGCATGATCCGGTACCGATACGATGACGTGAACTCGTTCGAACGCATGGACTTTTACGAGCCCCATTTCGGCTGGTTCCATGCAACAATGGCTTTTGCAAACTCACTACACACCCAATATCTCGGAACATCTGCTGGAATTGGCCTTCGAAAGGCCTTCGAAACACTCGGGAGGAAAGGGCTGATGAAACAGGAGACAAAGGGTGTCTTTTGGCACAATCTCGACGAGGCGCTATGGCATATTGGGGAGGCTCACTTCTTGTCCCTCTGGATGGAGGTTGCAGGTGTCGATGACCTCGCTGCGCTGACAGAGATAACACCAGAGAGGCTCATCAGCCTTTCGGATGAAATTTTCCATGCCCACGCTTCTCGCGAGGCCATCCACCGCCTCGATACTCTCACGAATCGCAAGCGGGATGAGGTGAAGCAGCAAATGGTCATGTTTGCGACAGACCTCTTGCCGTACTTCGATCTTCGGGAGGCTATGCAAATTGGGGATGTAGGGCGGATGGAAGACCTCCTTCCCACGCTGCTGTTCCGATTCGCAGGAGGCTCGAATCCCAAGTACACGATCGAAATTCTAGAGCTGATACAGAGGCTTCGATGTGAGTGGCCACAGGAGTTTCGGTGTGTAAAGGAACTATTCTCTACATGATGACAAGAGGCTTACAATCAGTATATAGGGATTACATTCGGCGCTATTGCTGGCTTGTGAACTTCACGGGGAAACGGAATGGTTTCCTGGCCGTTGACATGGCACAGGAGCATAATATTAAGGATATCAAGGTCAGATTCTCTTCAACATGGAAGATGGTCAGGACTCACAAGGTTCTGCTAGGTTACATGGCGCTCATTTGGGCCGGGCGCAACATTCCCGTACATACAGAAGATATCACCTGCAATCACAACCCTACGCGCCGTCAAAGCGAACGTGGCGAGTCAGTTCTCAAGTGTGATCGGGCGCGGTACTCACCACGGAAGGCCGTCGAAGGAGGAGGACATTGATCGGCTGATCAAGATGTACCGGACCTCAAAGTTGCATAGCTGGGAGGATGGGCGACAGGTGAAAGGCGGGGTGTCCAATCGAGCAACGGATGTGATGACCGTAGGAAGCGTCAGGCTCATTGTAGATGGGGCTGCTGAGCGATGGTGGGATGAACGGGACTTCGAAAGGGCGACAACAGAGTTGTATGACATGCTAGACTAGACAACTGAGGATGCGCGAAGAGTTCTCAATCACCTTCGCAGTCTTGCCCTCCATGGTGGCGAGGCCAGGCATGCGTGAGTTCGCGGTAGCGTGGCTGATCTTCATGGCAGTGACACAGCAAATCGAATGTATTAGATCACGTAAACGTACGCGCACATTCTGATACAGGGAGAAGTGGACAAAGGGGTGAGGGCATAGTCCGCGGTGAGGGGATAAGGTGCAGTGAGGGGCTAGGGCGCGCAACCTGGCTGTAGGACGTCCGGGCAATGATGCCCAGGTTCGCCGCACGCGTCAGGATCCTCCGTGCCCCCCAGAAGGCAGTAGGACACACATGCGATAGGAAATGGAAGGGGAGCAAAGGGCGCAGAGGACGCATGAAGGAAGAGAGGAGAGAAGAAAACACGGGAGCACGGTGACGGCAGGGAACGCGCATTCACCACGGAGAGCTTCGTGCGCATGTCCCGTGGGGGATTGCTCGTCCGCAGGGAGTTGCTAGAGGCCATGGCCATCTGGATGACGGCCTCAATGTCATCTTTGGTGGGGCCGGAGCCAGCTGTGGCTGGTGAGCTCGAGCTGGTGTGCGTCTACTAGCCCGTAACAGGTGCAGAATTCGAAGGGGCAGGCTTGAAGATGAGGATGCTCGTGTGGGTGCTAGTGATTGTCGTGCTGAAGATGAAGAGGGAGGACTGAAGAGCGTTGTGATGGTGGTTGCGACTGCGCTGGGGTGGATGCGAGCTGTGCGGATGATGGCCCGCTAGAACTAGGTTGACCGTTGGGGCTGGAGGAAGGCGAATGGATTCTGTTGGAGTGGAGGTTGAGCTGAGAGTAAGAGTAGAATGGAGGACAGCAGGCAAGAACAGCAGGCAAGGACAGCGGGCGAGAGGGAGAAATGCGAGGGGGAGACGAGGTACGCACCAAGTAAGATGGGACCAGATGCGCGATGCTACGTTGCAGGTTACTCATGCTACAGGTAGGAAATACAGTTAGAACAAGCTCGCTCACTGGATCAAAATAGGTGCTTACCGATGTATGAGGTTGCTCCCCTACGCCGTCCTCGACACGAGGACATTTGAGGGGGCGAGGACGAGGACGAGGATGAGGACGAGGACTGACTGGCGCCACAACGTCAGCGCCAAACACAGGACCCTGCCTGAAAAGGCAATTGTCGATGTTCGGCGGCACGTTCTCCTTCCCACAGCGCCGTCGCTTTGCTGCTCCGTGGCCCACGACCGTATCCACATCCTGCATCTCATCCGCCTTTCGTTTTCCCCTCCAGGAGCTGGCACTGGATAGTGCTTTTTCGGCTCTCTTCCGCTCTTTCTCCTCCCGTTCCACCAATCTTCTCGCCTTCTCTGCCTGTCGCTCCTCCGCTTTTCTCACCTTCTCAGCCTCCTTCCCTGCCCTCTTTCTCGCCTTGGTTTCCTCAGCACGGACCTCCTTCTGTCTCCTCCCGATCAGCTTGGCCGCCTCCTTGATCGCTCTGAGGCGAGTTTTGCGGGCCTCCTCGGCCGCCTTCCTCACAGCAGCCTCTTCACGCTTCTTAGCGGCCTCGAGCACCTTACGGATACGTTCATGCTCACGTTCATCTTCCCGTGCCTTCTTTCTAATGTCCTCCGCCTCTCGCTTAGACTTTTCCTCGCGCATGTCGTCCAGGGCAACCTCGCGATCGAGGTTTTCAAGCAACTTGAGGACCTCGGTAGCATGACGTTTGGCGAGGATCCATCGGAGGTCCCGGATATCCTCCAGGGCACGGTAGGACGTGCGAGTAGCAAGTGCGGTGAGTACAGTATCGGGTAATATTCCTGGTGGTCCAAACGGCTGACTTTTGTAATGTGCGAGCCATGTGTTGTCGCGCCATTCAGAAAGTAGGATTCGAGCACGCTCAAGATGCTTGTCGCGGCGTGTTGCGGGTGTGAACATAGCCCAGTTCCTAGGGTCGTATCGGTCGATCGGGGGATCCAACGGCTCATTGGACGGCCCCACTGGCTCCATGACTGGTGCAGCCTGACCCGGACTTGGAGGAGATCCTGCATCGCCGCTCGGAGTCTTGGCTGTGGCCATCTCCTCAGGTATGTTGTTGCTGGAAGTCGAGGAATGTTGTTGACTGTCAGGACCTAGTGATCCGCACTCGGTGTCGTGTGGTAGAGAGGGTGGTTGGGGCAACGGATTGAGCATCGTCAGACGATGAGTACAATTATCGCAGCATTCCCCCGTGGGAGCTAATCGTAACTCATCAGTTCCCATGCCCCTATAGAACAATACAACACATACGTTTCCGCGCAGGTGGATTGTCAAAATACTCATCTGCGACGTCTCTTCGGCAATCTTCGATGGGGACCTCAACCCACGTCCTCAACCCTGGTTCAATTGTTTTCTTATACACAATTGCCTCTCCATCCTTCCGGGCGGATCTCCCGACCTCTTGAAATACTGACGGCTGTATGAGGAGCACTGCCCTTGCCTGGATTGAGGCGCTCCTTCCAGCTCGGCCGGCACGCTGAAGCCACGTCGACAAGGAGTTTGGAGCCTTGAATTGTACAACCTTGGCGACATCAGGAATGTCGCATCCCTATGTATCATAATCAGCCTTGCAATATCCCAGTAGTATGCGAGACTCGTGTGAGTCCATGAGGAGGAAGATGATGTCGTGTTCGTTGACAAGCTTTGCCAGCGTCGCGATGTCTATCTTTGCTCAGCTGAAGGACTCACCATGCCCGCAGCTTCAGTTGCCAGGAGTATGTCGATGTCCCCCTTCAGAAATTGCGACATCACGAGTCCTTTGGACAGTTCCCCTCGCCGTGCATTGTAGCACCGCACACGGGGGTACAAGGCTGCTGGTAAGCGCTTCTGAAACCAACGACGTGCCTTCATTGATGCCGTTATATCGTCAAAGAAGACCATCGTTTTCGTGAGACGGGATGAGTTAGGCAAGGTGGGAAGTAGAAACTCGAGCTCGTCAAGCTCCGGACGTCCTGCCTTCATGTAGCGGACTTCCCATGTGATATTGGGGCGGTCATTTCCCAGATTGAGGTAGAATGATGTTGATGGATCGATGTTCATTGTTACGCTGAAGTACTAACACAAGTCTATCCAGACTTATCACGCGGACTTATCCAAGTACACGGTGTAGCACACGGGGGAGAGAGTATCGCACAAGTCCCTAGATTGAGGGATATAGGGATACAGGAGGTAACGAAGAGGAGAACAGAAGTGGGGAGCCTCTACTAACTACAGGCCTCCTTATATACTAGAAGGTACCGACCGTATTAGGAAGGGAAAGGTAACCGACCAAAGTGGGGAGGTATGAGGAGACTGCAAAGGAACGCGTCTGGTCGAGGCTGGGCCCCGTATAGTACAAGACCTAGGTCAGGGTCCTATGATATAACCGAAAGGGGATAAAGGCGGGACAGGGTCCTGAGTCTAGGTCAGGGTCGGGCAATATAACCGAAAAGGGAAGGGGGCGCGACAAGGGTCGGGGTCTGGGTCAGGGTAAAGTAATGTAACCGAAAAGGGAAAAGGTCAGGGTCGGCCTCAGGGTCCGGTCATATAGACGAAAAGGGGAAATATTGAGGGAGAGGGCCGGGGCTA